TGTGTGTGTGTGTGAGAGACGATGGCTGGGAATAGAAGTACTATAGAAGGTGGCGGGGTTGGAGTATAGAGTGCTGGTGGATTAGATAGTAACACGTTTACAACATGATTATAATCACTGTTAAAATTCTAAAGAACTAGATAGTAATGTAAAGTAGACAGCCACTTGATTACAATGACGTGAACTAAATCGCCATACGATCACAGTAATAGCCATAACGATGAATATAGTGAATTTAGTTGTCATTGTTCAAATTTTACGGTCCAACAAATTTATACTGGATAAAAATAACATCAAGATTTACAATTCACCCTAAATATTGGGTTTTTTGGAGGCTGGTCCACAGTTGTGTACTTTTGGAACATGAAGGATAGACGCATTCTTTTTAGGGCTTAGAGGACAATTAAAGGCATAAAGATTAATTTTTTTAATGAGATAAATAGCTATATTACAAAATGGACAGTAACAACAAGACAAGAACAGTAACAACGACACAATAACAATAATTGTCATAGTAACACGATCACAGTAACAACAATGCCCATGTGGGTGAGGTATAAGGGTTATGATTGGTAATGGAATTGCTATGGAAGATAACAGGGTTGGAGTATAAAGTGGTGGTGGACTAGACAACAACACGAGCACAGTAACAATAACACGATAACAGTAACAGTCACAATCATTGTCAAAATTCTACGAAATTAGACAATATCGTAAACTAGATAGACACACGATCACAGTAACAACCAAAATCATTATCAAAATTCTACGAAAACTAGACAATAACATGAACTAGACAGCCACATGATCATNGGGGGGGGGGGGGTGTGAGGGACGATGGCTGGGAATAGAAGTACTAGAAGGTGGCGGGGTTGGAGTATAGAGTGCTGGTGGATTAGATAGTAACACGTTTACAACATGATTATAATTACTGTTAAAATTCTAAAGAACTAGATAGTAATGTAAAGTAGACAGCCACTTGATTACAATGACGTGAATTAAATCGCCATATGATCACAGTAATAGCCATAACGATAAATATAGTGAATTTAGTTGTCATTGTTCAAATTTTACGGTCCAACAAATTTATACCGGATAAAAATAACATCAAGATTTACAATTCACCCTAAATATTGAGTTTTTTTTAGGCTAGTCCACAGTTGTGTACTTTTGGAACATGAAGGATAGACGCATTCTTTTTAGGGCTTAGAGGACAATTAAAGGCATAAAGATTAATTTTCTTAATGAGATAAATAGCTATATTACAAAATGGACAGTAACAACAAGACAAGAACAGTAACAACGACACAATAACAATAATTGTCATAGTAACACGATCACAGTAACAACAATGCCCATGTGGGTGAGGTATAAGGGTTATGATTGGTAATGGAATTGCTATGGAAGATAACAGGGTTGGAGTATAAAGTGGTGGTGGACTAGACAACAACACGAGCACAGTAACAACAACACGATAACAGTAACAGTCACAATCATTGTCAAAATTCTACGAAATTAGACAATATCGTAAACTAGATAGCCACACGATCACAGTAACAACCAAAATCATTATCAAAATTCTACGAAAACTAGACAATAACATGAACTAGACAGCCACATGATGATAGTAACAACTACAACTACTAATTGAATAGTTCATAAGTTTAAACAAAAAAACACACATAATTTTTTCATCCATAACAAAACAAATTTAAGATCAATATATCAAAACAATCAAGTACAAGTGGAGATCTAAACTTTTTCACAAAAAATAATAAAACCCTTAGTTCATGTATTTCATCGAACACCATTTGAGCATAACATATACATTGAAGAATGTCATAGACATTTATTATCCCTTATGGTGCAAAATAATCCACATGACCCTATGATGATTATCAAATTAATAGAGGGATTATACATAAAGTTGCCAAAAATAACACTTAGCTATAACAACGATTACACATTTACAAGGTACAAAATTTAGAATCCTTTCATATCCAAATAATGTTAGAGCCTCACCAATCAATAGTGCCATCTATTCTAACAGTTGAAAGCCCAATATTCAATTTTCTATTCGAGGAGTGTTGGGAATTGTATCTTAAAGTAGTTGCATCTTCAAGAACATAGTTGCTGAGAATTGTATTTTCAAATCAATAGATATTTATGTCAGCAAGAAAAAGCGAGCTATATATGAGAAATTTCGAAACTCTCATTGGTAACGATGCGAAGAACACTTGAACAAGTCCCACTCNACAGGGTTGGAGTATAAAGTGGTGGTGGACTAGACAACAACACGAGCACAGTAACAACAACACGATAACAGTAACAGTCACAATCATTGTCAAAATTCTACAAAATTAGACAATAACGTAAACTAGATAGCCACACGATCACAGTAACAACCAAAATCATTATCAAAATTCTACGAAAACTAGACAATAACATGAACTAGACAGCCACATGATCATAGTAACAACTACAACTACTAATTGAATAGTTCATAAGTTTAAACAAAAAAACACACATAATTTTTTCATCCATAACAAAACAAATTTAAGATCAATATATCAAAACAATCAAGTACAAGTGGAGATCTAAACTTTTTCACAAAAAATAATAAAACCCTTAGTTCATGTATTTCATCGAACACCATTTGAGCATAACATATACATTGAAGAATGTCATAGACATTTATTATCCATTATGGTGCAAAATAATCCACATGACCCTATGATGATTATCAAATTAATAGAGGGATTATACATAAAGTTGCCAAAAATAACACTTAGCTATAACAACGATTACACATTTACAAGGTACAAAATTTAGAATCCTTTCATATCCAAATAATGTTAGAGCCTCACCAATCAATAGTGCCATCTATTCTAACAGTTGAAAGCCCAATATTCAATTTTCTATTCGAGGAGTGTTGGGAATTGTATCTTAAAGTAGTTGCATCTTCAAGAACATAGTTGCTGAGAATTGTATTTTCAAATCAATAGATATTTATGTCAGCAAGAAAAAGCGAGCTATATATGAGAAATTTCGAAACTCTCATTGGTAACGATGCGAAGAACACTTGAACAAGTCCCACTTAAAATAATTCGTTTCAAGCGATAATTTGATCGAGAAGACCCAACACCCCTTCTCTCTCTTTCTCCCCCGATGGTGCCAGTGGAGGAACAGGTGGTGCATGGTGGTGATCCGAAGCATTGGGCCAACAGATTGCACGAGAGTAGAGTAGGAAATAATAATTATAAAAAATAGCTTGTTAGACCTACTTACCAAATATTACACATCATATATCCTTAATACCTCAATAAGTTTGCTCTAGTCTTTTTTGGCAAAATAAATTATCATATTATCCTTGGTTTTAATTTTCACTAATTTGTATGTATGTTATGTACAAGTAGGAAAAATGAGCCGACTCACGAATAGTTTTGGCTTTGCTCGGCTCAAATAGTAAACGAGCCTAACAATTTGTTTATATTCGACTCATTTATTTAATATGAGCATGCTCAAGCTGAGTTAAAATTGAGCTAAACCAGAGCTGTTCCCGAGCCGCATGAATCGTTTAACAGACATAGACGCATCCCTTTTATTGAAGCAATACTATAATAAATTACAGAATTTAGATTAAACGTTAATAGAAAAAAGGTTACTGTCAATTCAAATTGTTACGTTAAACCCCTAGACAGTTAAGAACCCTTTTAAATTCTGTTCTTCAATTGACTGGCAACTAATTAGGAGAGAAAATGAAAGGCAAGATAGAGAGACAGATGGGCAGGAAAGTGAAATTTGATGAAAGAACTCTCAAGGTTGGATTGTAAACCCAAACAATTTCAACCGTTCTACTTTCAAAAAATGTATGGCGTGTTTGGTTTGCGGGATTGGATTGGATCGGATCGGATCGGATAGAATTTGAGTTTTTCATCCTACGGAATTCAATCCAATCCAGCTCAACTAAATCTAGCTAGGGGAATGAACAAGGAAATAGAGGAAGGGACCGAGCCAGAAATTCATCACGATGAGTCAAATAAAAATAGTGCTACAATTAAATATTTAATAAAATGAGATCATTCGACAAGTTACTACAAGTATTATATTTTTAATTATGAAGATCTGCTACTGTATGATACTATCACAAAAACTTAGTTCGTAAAATTTAAAAACTATTTCTTACTTATCATTGAGAAATTTAATTTGTGATAATTTCATCACCACTAATTCCCTCATTTATGACATGATGCAAAAAATTTGAATTATATATCGTCATAAATATTCATATGATACCACCGTAAATGTTAGCTGTGAATTAGTGTGTTCTTAGCAGGGGCGGAGCCAGAAAATTGTGTCAAGGAGGATATGAATATTCCAACAAATTATTATTATTTTTCTTATAATTGATAGAAATAGGACAATAATTTATTTAATTACATTTTATTTAATACTTAAAAGTTCATTAAACCTACTATACCAAAATTTGGTAAGTCTAGTAGTATATACAAATCATAACATTTTTTTTTTACAAAATATTAACTAATTAAAATCATTTAGAATTGACTTTAGTGAACTTTTGTACTTTTAAAACGTTACACAACAACTTTATAATTCTTTAGATATATAATCATGTTTGGTATTTATAAATCATTTGATCGATTATGTAGTTTAATGTGCACCCTATAATTTTTACCATAATTAGCAAAAATAAACGCAAGAATCACAAGTAAACTAGCGAATATTTATATCATGTCTTTTTTAGTCTTAAAAAATATAAAATAATTCAAGTATATTCAAAATTTATTTAGATAGGTACATAACCAACTCAAAATGTGTCAAAAAATTTATTTTCATTTGATATAAATATACACTAATTGATGTGCCAAAAAAAAAAATAGGGGGACATAATTAAAATTATTCATTTGATATAAGTGTATTGACTTTGTCCAACACGAGTTGACTTTTTCGGTAAAAAGNGCTGTTCCCGAGCCGCATGAATCGTTTAACAGACATAGACGCATCCCTTTTATTGAAGTAATACTATAATAAATTGTAGAATTTAGATTAAACGTTAATAGAAAAAGGGTCACTGTCAATTCAAATTGTTACGTTAAACCCCTAGACAGTTAAGAACCCTTTTAAATTCTGTTCTTCAATTGATTGGCAACTAATTAGGAGAGAAAATGAAAGGCAAGATAGAGAGAGAGATGGGCAGGAAAGTGAAATTTGATGAAAGAACTCTCAAGGTTGGATTGTAAACCCAAACAATTTCAACCGTTGTACTTTCAAAAAATGTATGGCGTGTTTGGTTTGCGGGATTGGATTGGATTNAAAAAAAAAATGCATAAATAAAGATGCATTAAATATAATTTGAAAACAAAATCACTTTTCAAAAAAAAAAAAAAACATGAATCAAGGTGTATTATATATATACATTAATCTATAAAACTAGGAGATGTTTAATGCACCACTTTTCAAAGAAAAAACACATGGATTAATAGAGAGTAAAAATGTCACAAAAAAATCAATAAAATTCAAATAATGTACTTAGATAAAAATAAGTATCAAAATTAAAAACTTAATTACCCAATATTTTTTTACAGTTAAGTCTAATTTGGTATATCTCATTCCAATTTTCCGAGGAAAAATTTGGAAGATGAGTTGGGAATAAAAGTCCACAAAACCCATCAAACTAATATTTGACAACTACATTTNGAAAATAAAACAAGACATCAAAAAAGGAATGAAGAGACGAAACAATGAAAACCGACAAAGAAATCCCAAATTGAACCCAACATTCTGCCAATGGAAGACTCCAAGAAAGTCTTTTACAAACAAAACAAATCAAATCTTAATAAAATATTAATAATCAATCATATTCTATTTTTAATAAAATAAATCAAAGCTAATTAGAATATTATGTGAGTCAAAACTCCCAAACCAATTAAAACATTAATAAAAAAATAAATAGAGAATAGAACACTTAGAGAGTTTTAATCAAACCCCAACTACGAGGGGGTGGGCGTGGACCTAGTGGTTGTACAATAGTAAAGATAGTACCGAGTAAAGAAGAGGGGTTTTGTAGAAACGATTTAAAAGAAGGGAGGGGGAGAGGAGGGGGGGGGGGGGTTGGTTTTGTTTCTTAATGGTTGTAACTACTAAAATCTGCCCAAAAGATGGAAGTGGGTGTTTGTGTCGCAGTTACCTAGGGGTAGTATAAAAGTGCAAGACTCGAAAGAATAAGGAAATTTTGCATAAAGTATTCATAAGTATGTAATAATTGTATATTTATCTAATTTTATAGTTAAAATTTTAATTTATAAAAGTATAACGACGGTCAAGATTGATCTAATTTTTATCTGCTTTGATCAAATAGTACAAAATTTATTTCAAAAGTAATTTCCTACTTAAAGACATCATTTTTTCTGTGGTATCTACAATATTAGACAACTAAATCAACACACTTCTCAATGTCAAACAACTCTATTAATCTACAACCACCTCTCTTATTTTTTATCTATTCACTTTAATTTTAAATTGCATAATTTAAAAAAAAAATTAAATGTTGTATAATCAATATTTTATTTTTGGTATTGTAAGTNCTATGGGGGTGGTCAGGGATAGAGTCCAGGGAGGGCTGTTACATTGTTATTATTATTGAGTTACTATTGTTACACTATTACATTATACAGATATTAAATTAATTTGAGAATAAAATTATTTTTCAAAAAAAAAAATGCATAAATGAAGATGCATTAAATATAATTTGAAAACAAAATCACTTTTCAAAAAAAAAAAACGCATGAATCAAGGTGTATTATATATATATATATATAGATATATATTAATCCATAAAACTAGGAGATGTTTAATGCACCACTTTTCAAAGAAAAAACATATGGATTAATAGAGAGTAAAAATGTCACAAAAAAAATCAATAAAATTCAAATAATGTATTTAGATAAAAATAAGTATCAAAATTAAAAATTTAATTACTCAATATTTTTTTCTGTGTATTTTTTTACAATTAAGTCTAATTTGGTATATCTCATTCCAATTTTCCCAGGAAAAATTTGGAAGATGAGTTGGGAATAAAAATCCACAAAACCCATCAAACTAATATTTGACAACTACATTTCTAAATCAAATTATCAAATCTAACCCGCTTTATGCCCGTAATTTAAAGTCATATATATGGGTTTCGTGAAACCCGGTTTTNCCGGAGAAAATAAAACAAGACATCAAAAAAGGAATGAAGAGACGAAACAATGAAAACCGACAAAGAAATCCCAAATTGAACCCAACATTCTGCCAATGGAAGACTCCAAGAAAGTCTTTTACAAACAAAACAAATCAAATCTTAATAAAATATTAATAATCAATCATATTCTATTTTTAATAAAATAAATCAAAGCTAATTAGAATATTATGTGAGTCAAAACTCCCAAACCAATTAAAACATTAATAAAAAAATAAATAGAGAATAGAACACTTAGAGAGTTTTAATCAAACCCCAACTACGAGGGGGTGGGCGTGGACCTAGTGGTTGTACAATAGTAAAGATAGTACCGAGTAAAGAAGAGGGGTTTTGTAGAAACGATTTAAAAGAAGGGAGGGGGAGAGGAGGGGGGGGGGGGGTTGGTTTTGTTTCTTAATGGTTGTAACTACTAAAATCTGCCCAAAAGATGGAAGTGGGTGTTTGTGTCGCAGTTACCTAGGGGTAGTATAAAAGTGCAAGACTCGAAAGAATAAGGAAATTTTGCATAAAGTATTCATAAGTATGTAATAATTGTATATTTATCTAATTTTATAGTTAAAATTTTAATTTATAAAAGTATAACGACGGTCAAGATTGATCTAATTTTTATCTGCTTTGATCAAATAGTACAAAATTTATTTCAAAAGTAATTTCCTACTTAAAGACATCATTTTTTCTGTGGTATCTACAATATTAGACAACTAAATCAACACACTTCTCAATGTCAAACAACTCTATTAATCTACAACCACCTCTTTTATTTTTTATCTATTCACTTTAATTTTAAATTGCATAATTTAAAAAAAAAAAATTAAATGTTGTACAATCAATATTTTATTTTTGGTATTGTAAGGTGTTTTCAGACAAAAATTTATACTTATATTACACACAAAAGTATTCCATAACTTTGGATACACAAACAAAAAGATGTAGTGAATTGCATATACTATCCCACTATTATATAGTATTTCAAAAATACCCATCCTAATGTGTACACATTCCAATTGCCGCATGATCTGGTCCAAGATTCCATTTTTTATCCTTCGGCAAATCGAAGAATTGGCAGTTTTGATTTGACAATATATTACTCAAATTTCCCTATGAATTAGTTCATGATTCCAATCCTGATCCTTCAGACAAGTACAAAATTTGTGTTTTGGTGGTATCGAATGATCACACAAGAACAAGTACACTATATAGAATCACATAAGGTTGACGAAGAAAACCAAGACTCAACTCTATGGGTTCTGATCCTTCGTCTCAAATTCCAGTCATCAACTTCTCGCTGGTATCGCCGGAGTTGGACAGAGGAACAAAAGAGTGGCACCTCCTGTGCGAGAAGGTCCGAGAGGCTTGTGAAAGCTATGGTTATTTCGAGGTGGTGTATGATAAAATTTCTTCAGTGTTACAAGCAGAGACATTTTCGGATTTGAAGGAACTTTTTGGTCTTCCTTTGGAGACAAAGAAGAAGAATGTGAATCCAAACCCTTTCTATGCCTATGCTGGGCAGTATGCCACGGCATCCTTGTATGAGAGCCTTGGAATTGAGGATGCCTCCGACCCCGACTCGGTTCGGAGATTTGAAGAACTAATGTGGCCTCAAGGCAATGATTTTTTTAGGTGAAGATTCTTCTGATCAATCTTGATCTTCTTGTTCATCTTCTTAGTAAGATTTTAGAGGTGTCCACACAAATAGGATAGCCTACAAGGTTTCTGCACCTGTATGCGCATTACTTTTTGGGCCTAAGCTCTCAAAGGATTGAAATTTCGGCTGTGTTTAGTTTGCAGCTTAAAAACTATTTTCTGTTTTCTGAAGAGAGAAAAGCTATCTGATCAGTTTTTTTTTTTTTGGAAAATTGAGAACAAAAGTTGGGTAGATTTAGAGTACAAATGCGAACCGTTTTTGAAAACAATCATTGTAGAATTTAGAAAATACCACCACCACCACCACTATCCACCACCACCATATTTCCACTGCCACCACTGTTTTTGTTATTGTCTGTGAGTATTGTTCAAACAAGTTTTACTGTTTTCTATTCTGTATATCTGCTTTTGAAATCATACAAATTAACGATTGAATATCGAAACCATATAAATATCGAAATTCTTATGTTTCGAGAGTTTGAAAGACCTTCGAAATGTTTTAAGGTATTTCGGTCAATGTTTTAAAAAAGGGTATTCATTCTATTTTTAAAATGTTTTTAGAAAACTATGAAACTAAACAAAATTTTGATTCTTGCATCAACTTGACCAAAAATAGACTTTAATATCACCAGCCACACTTTTTTGTCCCCTTGTTGATCATTGAACTATTTCAACTTCACAGAATTAATCTTCATTCACAGTAATATGTTCTATTCACTTAAATTACACTGAAAAAAAGAAATGCCAGTGCCAAAAATCTTCAATCTGTACGACTATCTCTTCATTTTCCTTATTTTTGGCTAGTGCAATATGAACTACTACTTCATCAACATCAACCTGTATGATTCCACAGCAAAACAATCAGCTCCATAACTCAGCAGATGGATGAGTTAAATCGTACGACCAGGACGTTGATTCTCGATGCTTATGGCCTGGGAGAGACCTTGAACTCCATCATGCCTTGTACAACCTTACTGCGCCTTACGAAATACAAAGCCTCACCAAATGGGGAGTACATGGAGGGGATCACTGCTCATACGGATAAACTTCTGTCAGCACTTCTGTGTGCAAACCAAGTTTTTGGGCTCGAAGTTGAAGCCAAGGATGGGCAGTGGATTAAACTTTTTCCATCTCCCAATTCCTTCATCTATATGGTTGGTGATCCTCTCATGGTATGATATTGCTGCTCTATAAGCTTAATTTGATGATATGTCTATACTTGTGTGTGCATGAATTTTCTTATAACAATTATGAGCTTATGCCACTACTAGTCCCTCGGGGTATGTCGGTAAATAGCATAATTAAACAATCTGAGTGAGCAACTCGGGTTTGACTCGATTTTAGTTTGTTTACATTTGGTCAAATTAAATAAATAGAATGTAATCAGACCCTAAGCTCATATTTTTTAAATAAATTGAATCCAACCATCATGTATCTTGACTTGGTTTGGTTCGAATAGGCTCACCTCTTTAAGTTAACTTATTCTTAATTACTCTCAAACAATCATTATCTTGAGGATGAACAAAATTAAATTTATCCCCAAATAGCTCTAAACCAAATGCAATTCTCTCCCTCTCTTCCTTAGGTTTCTAGTGTTTGATTTTATGGTTGATTATATATGTTTTGAAGGATAATTGTTTGGAAATTGGATATTTAGGATTGATTATTAAGTATGTTGTTTAATATTTTAGATTATTAAGAAATTGAGCTTGGTTTCGAATTAAGTTCGTTACGAATGCTCGCATGCTTTTGCCAAACTGAGCTTGAGCAAGGACCTTAGTTCAACTCGAGCTTGAGTTCGACCAATATATATAATTGATTCGAATATAAGCATAGTCAAACTCGACAAATTCAGTCAGACCAGCCCCATTTATGCATATACGGGTCTAGTAATGTCAATCAAAATTATTTAATTTGCAGGCATGGAGTAATGGGAGAATGCATGCAGCTAATCACAGGGTGATGATGGAAGGATATGAAGATAGGTATTCACTAGGGGCATTTCCAGCTCCAATGGAGGGAACAACCATCAAGCCAATAAAAGAGCTAGTGGATGAAGAGCACCCCCAAATTCTGGAAGAGTTTGATTACATGGAATTCATCAGATTTTCTTTATCAAAAGAGAGTTTGACCATGGATTCAGCAAGGCAGGCGTTTGCATTTCCTGGAAACTATTGATGAAGTGTAGTTTTTTTCTTGGAAAACGAGGTAGCTAAGCTAGATTGTAAGTGCTAAATCCCACAAAAAGTTCGGGTCATGATAATGAAGAGCACTTTGCTTGGCACAAACAAATGTAATGATAAGAGTTGAAAAACATGATATTGGATATAGTTCCCAAACTTATTTTTTGAAAAATATGTGGCTAGAATGACACGACAAATGGCTTGCAAATACTTAATTGCATAGATTTAGATCTAACCCTACTTAGCCCATTAAATCCATTAAGTATGATGTGCTAAAAGAGCATCTGTTGAATATGCAGAAGAACCAAGTATATAGAGTCAAAAAGAGAGCAATGGCATTGGTTAATGGCACTGATGAGGAGCAATTTGCTATGTTATGAGATTATTGTGAAGAGTTGAGGAGAATAAACCTTGGTACAACTTGCAGGATTAAAACCAAGTCCATTGGAGGTAATCAGTTCTTGTTCAAAAGGTTGTATATATGCTTTGGGGGCAATGAAAAGGGAATTAATTGAAGGATATAGATCAGTAATTGGATTGAATGGCTGTCATGTTAAGTGCCACCAATCTAGTATTCTGTTGGCAGCAGTTGAGATTGATGCTAACAACCAGATGTAGCTGTTTGCTTTAGTTTTTTGTGGAAAAATAGAAGTAGTATTGTGCTTGGTTTCTTGAACTTTTGAAAGAGGATCTGGATATTGTAAATTCATATGCATGTGCATTCATCTCAGATAAACAGAATGGTTTGGTGGACTCAGTTGGAAACTTATTTCCAATTGCTGAACACAGATTCTGTGTCAGGCATTTGTACAATAGCTTCAAAACTAATCATAAATGTTTCATCTTTGAAAGATATATTGTGGAGGGTTGCTAAATCTGCGAGAGTTTTAGGAAGTCATTTTAAGAAGTTTTCATATCAGTTTTTTTTTTCTACTAGTGCCTAATTTCTCCCCAGTAGGATAGTGCAAACACTTGTGCAAGGAGACCACTCGCAGCATCTACCTCAAACACATCTGGAGTTCCACAAGCACATTTTGATCAAACACTTCTGCATCATACAGTGGTTCAAGTCCACGAACTGCACAAAAACTGTTTGTGAACTATTGTTTTTGCTTATTTATGTTTTTTTGATGTAACTAATTTAATTAAATATCTAACTAATAAGTAATACCACCAGATTAAAAGGAACAATAACCTAAATGCAGCAAGCACTCATGAGAAGACATCAACAACATCATCATCAGCATCAGCATCAACTGCTCACTCTGCAGTACAAAAATCAAAATTGTTCATCCCTCCAAGACCAGTACTACTGCAGCATACCAACTAGGATGAACTATCTATGCTATGACTTTTTGTGCAACTAGCAAGTTTATGATGGTTAGAGTGGTATATTGTGGTATAATACCTATGTAATGTAAATGCAAGTTTTAGTGTTTAATGTGTGGGATTGTGTTAGTGCAATTGCACATTGTTTCAATTGAGAAACTCTATTTTTCTGCATTTGAAATGGACAATTAAGCTACAATTGAAATCAACCATTAAGTTGGTAATCCATTGACTCATAAAACACATAAGCCAACCAGAGATCCAACATCAAAAAGTCATCAACAAAGACCTAGCAACCAAGATCCTAGCTACAACAAACTATAAAGTAGTCCAGTAGGGCAAACATTACAATGAGTACCAGTAGCAACAGATTACAATGACCACTTACTATCAAACAAGTTTCAGGTTCGTCACTCCACTGTTGGCTAAATGTGGTGTTGTACCAATCAGCCCTTCCTGATAGCACGTGCAATGCAGGTGGGACAAAAGGAGACGGCAAGTTGGATGGAGTTAGCTATTGGGCTGGGTTGCAACGGATTTGTTTTATTGGGGGTGTAATTTGAAAAAGTTTAACTTTGAGGGTACAAATTATAAAATTTGATATTCTTTCAAGGTACAAAGTGTAATTTTTCCAAATTTCTTGTTGAAAGGTGAATCAATAAGTTGGTGTAATCGGGTATGGTAAACGAGTAACCATAAAATAAATAAATAATCAAATAAAATATTAATTTATTAAATAGATAATCAAATTTATTCATTTATAATCCAAATCCGTCCAGATTAAGCACAAACACTACAATTTTGATGTTAATCAAATCGTGAAAATTGTGGGCCACGGTAACCCCCCAATGCATTTGGTTTTCTTCTTTTCCGGTTATTATTTGAATTCACCTCAGCGTTCACTCTCAGGCTTCACAAATTCAGGACCAGAGCAATTGGGTTGTTCAGTCTTGTTCGCAAAATGCAAGAGGAGGATCACAGAGAACAGGTAAAGAGCCTTCTTTCGACTCAATTGACATAACAGTGTGTCTTCCTTGATATGGAACATTGTATTGTATGGTGAAAACACGCACGTAATCGCACAGACACTTGTCAATATTTCAGTTTCTGTGAATGAATCAATCAAAAACTAAAGGGGTTTTGTGGATATGTGGAAATTTTCAACCTAAAAAAAATGATCCAGAACTGTGTGCAATTGGCGGAATTTTCCTGGAGGATCAAAGCCTTATACCTCCAGAGAATTTGATTTTTGATAGGTAAATATTTCAGGAGTAATCGAGGGGTTTTACAAGCTTATATTAGATACTAGAGCTAGCACGTTTGGGAGAAATTTTGAAGGGAAAGAGGTTAGTGCAGTGGCTGGCATGAGATAAAAAAAAAAAAAAAAAAAGAGCCTGACCCTCACGGGTGAGTTGTGCTTTTCAGATTTGAGTGAGGGATTGGTAATTTTACTCACTTTTGAGGGAATCATGGGATAGTATTGATCATTGCTGTTGNGGCAAGTTGGATGGAGTTAGCTATTGGGCTGGGTTGCAGCGGATTTGTTTTATTGGGGGTGTAATTTGAAAAAGTTTAACTTTGAGGGTACAAATTATAAAATTTGATATTCTTTCAAGGTACAAAGTGTAATTTTTCCAAATTTCTTGTTGAAAGGTGAATCAATAAGTTGGTGTAATCGGGTATGGTAAACGAGTAACCATAAATAATCAAATAAAATATTAATTTATTAAATAGATAATCAAATTTATTCATTTATAATCCAAATCCGACCAGATTAAGCACAAACACTACAATTTTGATGTTAATCAAATCGTGAAAATTGTGGGCCACGGTAACCCCCCAATGCATTTGGTTTTCTTCTTTTCCGGTTATTATTTGAATTCACCTCATCTTTCACTCTCAGGCTTCACAAATTCAGGACCAGAGCAATTGGGTTGTTCAGTCTTGTTCGCAAAATGCAAGAGGAGGACCACAGAGAACAGGTAAAGAGTCTTCTTTCGACTCAATTGACATAACAGTGTGTCTTCCTTGATATGGAACATTGTATTGTATGGTGAAAACACGCACGTAATCGCACAGACACTTGTCAATATTTCAGTTTCTGTGAATGAATCAATCAAAAACTAAAGGGGTTTTGTGGATATGTGGAAATTTTCAACCTAAAAAAAATGATCCAGAACTGTGTGCAATTGGCGGAATTTTCCTGGAGGATCAAAGCCTTATACCTCCAGAGAATTTGATTTTTGATAGGTAAATATTTCAGGAGTAATCGAGGGGTTTTACAAGCTTATATTAGATACTAGAGCTAGCACGTTTGGGAGAAATTTTGAAGGGAAAGAGGTTAGTGCAGTGGCTGGCATGAGATAAAAAAAAAAAAAAAAA